CTCTTTTCTTCCATCATAAGACCAAAGCTCGAGTACGGCCCTCCCACCTGTTGTCCGATCACCCTTGGCGAGGTGCAGAACCTGTTCAGCATGTGGCAACCAGACCCATCCACAGCTTACGGAGCATATCGAAAGAGGACTAATGCAGGTGACTTGTTGTACACCCTGTCCTATAGTCCGTTTTGAGTTGACCTCACAATAACCCACCGTTTATTAGATCTGAGTGACTACCCCATGACAAGACCAATGCTCCGTATGAGCGCATGCAGCAGCATACGCGAACACCGATACAAGCTTGTGATACCGAATCTGTAGCGTATAGTTCACCCTCTCTGCTTCGAGCGCCGAGTGGTGAAATATTGAAACAGTTTACCCGAAAAAATAGTTGAGGCAAAATCGAATCTGAATTTGAGCACTTCTAGACTTTCTACTGCTTTTAGATTTAGTGAAAGATTCGCCGCTAAATACAACGTTGTATATCTATAAGATGATGAAAACTCGCTTGAATTAATGACATTCTTTCGCGTAACTACTCAATCAATCTTTGATGGAGCTACACAGTACGCAGTATTCAGTATCCTTAATTTGACGGATCCCTTAAAGTTAGGCGTTCGGATCATTATCGGCTGATTAAACCAAATTGTTTCGTTCTCTATGCAACTGACATCTGGAATCATCTTTTGCTAACCTAATCTTATGCTGTGCTGACTTCGAGTGCCACCATTTCAATACACGTTGCCCTCGTGTCGCGTCCGATAGAATTGCTTCTTTTTTCCTTTATTTATTATTTCATGAGCATAACTGTTATGTATGGGCTTCTGCTCAACAATACTTTGTTCTACCTGTGCTCGTTTTCACTTTAACTTGTCAATCTTTCCATGCCTAGTTGTTATACCTCCGAGTAAGTATTTCCGATCATTGTTTCTCGTTTTCACCACGCTTGGTTGGTTGCACACGTTTGCTCATATTCATACCCTGCGCTTGATCATCCGGTGTTTTGTTCAATAATCATGACCCATCTAATGCCATCGACAATTTTCCTCCTAAACAAATTCATCAGGCACGTTTTCACAATCTGATTCTTCCCACCGGTTCACGGAAGCGTATGTACCACATCAGCTGCCTTATTAGCCTGGGTTAGTAAATTGGATCGGAATCAGCGAAGTTACCAAGCGCTGCGCCGATGATGATTACACGTTTATCTTACTCGTCTGTCCTTAGATCTTGGCGCCGCGTGGCGACGCTTGTAACTCACTGGGGCACGCGCGACTGCATGTGCTACAGCACAATGCCCTCGACGTCGGTGGTCTATCCACCATCGACGCCTGTCGCTCCCTCAACCGACATTTCTTTTCCGCATGCAGTAGTGCTTTCTCATCCACTTGGGCAATCATCCTCCTGATATGCTCTCGTCATCGGTGTCAACCCACTGCCATCACTCCTGATAAACACACCTTGATCATGTCCTTGTAACATAACTTCGGTTTTCCCACGTTCCGCTTCCCTGAGGTAGTTGGCCATACAGCAGCTGTGTCGGCATCCGCGTCGAATCCATGCGGCGAACATGCCCGAATCACCTCAGGTGCCTCAGCAGAAGTATGCAGTCCACTGCATAGATACCACTGCGTCGGAGCATCTCCGTGTCTACAACTTGGTCACTCCAGCCAATGCGCAGAATACGACATAGGCGCTGTTGATGGAAGTGCTCCATATAACAGATATCCTTCTGATAAAGCGTCCAGGTTTCGCTGCCGTATAGAAGAACGGACAGCATCATAGACTTGTTTGCCTTCAGCTTCGTCCTAACAGTGAGCTGGTGGTTGCTCCACACACGTTTTTCCAGCTGATCAAATGTGGCTGCCGCCTTTTCTACGCGCGTGCACATCCCGTTCGTCATCTACATATGGGTAGACATTACGCTGTCTAGATAGCAAAATCCCGAAGTGGATTCCAAAACATTGTTGCCAACGTGGATTTGCTGCAAGCCCACGGATTCCACTTCTGGAGAAGGCTTAAGAAGACGAACAATTTTTCTTGTGTTGATGGTGAGCCCAAATTTGACCGCTGTCATAGCAAGAGCCGAACTTATGTGCTGTAACTCATCCGCGCTGTGTGCAAACGACGCACAGTCGTCAGCGAACAGCAACATACTGATAGTTGTCTCACAGACTAAAATTCTCGCAACGAAACGACGGATGTTCAGCCACCAACCATCAATACTGTGGTCTACACGAACACTGTAAGCACAAGCCGCACCAAACGCACAACGACATCATAGCATGATGACATATATTGAACAGGACAGGAGCTAACACAGCTTTGTTTCGCACCAGTGACAACTGCAATGTCATCCAAGGTCTGTCCAGTCAGCTGCACCCTCGCCCGCATACCACTGTGCAGACATACAGTTAAATTTACAGATTTACTCGGACAACCAAACTTACCCAACTCCAGCCACAATGCCTCGCGGTTCACCATATCAAATGCCTTGGTGAAATCAAAAACAGCGAGTACAACGGCTGGTGTCGTGCTCGGCACTTCTTCTGCAATTGACGAGCTGCAAACCATATCAATGTTGCTGCGGCCCGAACGGAATCCACAATGCTCTTCCGCCACCTTCGGTTCCCCAACTTGATTGACGAGGCGGTTGAACAGGTTTCGGGCAATCACCTTGCCCACGCAACTCAGCAATTTGATACCACGATAATACATGTAACCTTGCTTGCTCCTTTTGCTCTTGTACAGTGGTAGCACAAGGATATTCTCCAGCTCAAGAGGCACCTCCTCAATCCACACTCGTTGCACCGAGTAGTGCAGCGCATTCACCAACGCGGGTCCACCGTGTTCCAATAATTCAGGCGGAATCCCGTCAGCACTGGAACACTTGCGGTTTCGCATTTAAGCAACTGCTCTCTGCTTCTCATCCACTGTCGGTGTGTCCTCCAGACTCACTTTCACCTCGTACTGTTTCAGGTCGTTTAATATAGGCCAGTCAATCTGAATGGTTGTTCTAGAGACATTCAAAGTGATTTCGCTAGATCTGCATTACCTCTGCAGTCTGTGTGTATGCAGCGGCTGAACTATCATCGATCAGCCTCCACAGCGGCTCCAACCTCGGTCCATACACCACCTTCAAGGAGTCAAAGAATCCCTTATGTTGGCGGCTTTCGGCGTAGCCATTCTATCTGCTTCGCCTTCTCTGTCCACCATGCATCGATGTGGCCGAGCACTCGGGACAATCGCCGTCGATTGTTTCGAAACTTTCTCTTCTTTTCCAACTCTGGGGTCTGCCACATGTGCAGCAAATGCTGCATTCTTTTCAGACACTAATGCGCTAATTGTCACACTGTTCTCATCAAATCAATCAGGCCGCTTACAGTTTACGCGCCCGATGGTCTCCTTGGCAGCAGCTGTCACCTGATTACAAATGTAGTGCCACAGGTCGCCCACTGTCTATGCATTCGACAGCACACAGGCGTGCATTCATCGCTTTCTCCAGCTCAATACGTTTCTCCATAGTACCGAGGGAGAGAATGTCATATTTATACCTCCGATTCACGGCAGGAGTGTTACGCATAGCTTTACGAAAATATATGTACAGTTTGGTTCGCACCAATTTGTGATCAGTGCCACACTCAGCTCCACGCAGTACACGTGTCATGCGCACTTCACGCATATCACGCTGACGTACGATGACATAGTCGAGCAGGTGAGCGTGACCACTCCGTGGGTGCGTCCAAGTTGCTATATCACTGGATCATCTGAATCCTGGTTTTGAATCCTTACCTCCGTACGCACTTACCTAATTAACCGACCACAGAAACATTAATATGTTCGCGTGTACTTCTCACTTCCAGCATATAAGCTATTACGCTGGGGCTGTGCGCACAAGCAACCGGCTTTCACTGTTGTCAAGTGGACACCCGAAATACTCCATCAGCATTCCAATCTATTTATCTGTATCACCTTTGATGGTTGAATCGCCTAGAATGTGAAGTCCAGTGTGACTCTTTAACGCCTAACTCCTCTATGGACTTCTATCTAAATTTCAGGGTATGCGACAGCGTTGCAGTTAATATTCTTGTACGGATCTTTAAGTGCCCACTAGGCCCTGGTTGAATGACGAGTTTGGTCGTATTCAGTCACTGATGTCGGCGTATGCTTGCTGGCCTCTGGTTGGACTACTGAACGTGTGATGTCAATGTTCACCATTTGGTGTTTGACAACAGATCCGCCGTTGCAATACTGAGTTGTTTTTGCATTTAGGTCGTCAGCGTTCATTTGTCCTGGCTTTCCGATTACTTCGATGTGTTTATTCGGACACTGTGCCAAGCAAGATGAAGCTTTAGGGTAATCACCGAGATGCATAGTAAAATACAAGAACCAATCAGCTTATATTCCTTGTCAGGTTGGTGCATACCATCTCCTTGGATGGGGGCGGTTAGCGATCTTAACCCATATGACAGTCTGGCGGTCTTGGTGAGCACAACTCAGCCAATTCCCGATTAGTTGCCACCGACATCGTTGTGCACCAGCTCACAACCTGGTTATTTACCTTGCTCCAATGGTCTCAATGGACACAAAACACCTACTCAGTTAGTCCAACCTTATCCATTTTATTTCGAAACACGATAGTTCATCTGCCTTTGATTTCCTTCTCTGTCTAGATCATGAATTATCGGTAACCGACATCCAGCTCTACTGAAGACTTTTTCTTTCCTAGGCTTCATGTGGGCATTGACATAAATCGCGAGTCATGCAGTACCCGAACATTTTGCACCTCATTGACCTGCCCTTCTAACCTCAACATTTTATCTATGCCTCAAGTCTTCTCTATCTACCTGGTGCTTATTTGTATCGTTACTAATGTGAGTATGTAGAGCTTTGTCGAATCAGTAAACCATGCAACAACAGGAGCGCATTTCGTTTTTCATTGTTTACTTCCTTTCGTTCTGTCCAAGAGATTGTCCCACTTGCCTCAATGGAGAGATAAATCAGGAATGACCGCTGGCGCGCTGTTTTCAGAATTAACTGATGATACTTCCGCAGTCGAGGTAGCACCCCCATCAATCCCATCCGGCGAAGCGATTCCAAAGGCATCGGTTGGCACCTTCACTTACCCTGTGTTACAAGCAGCTGATATCCTGTTGTACGGCGCCAATCTGGTCCCTGTTGGAAGCGATCAAACGGCCCATATCGAGTTGGCTCGTGATTTGGTACGAGCCACCACTTTTCGATGGCCTTCGCTGGCCTCCATCTTGCAAATGCCTGCAAGTGCATCGCTTGGTGTCCCCAAGGTAAATGTCAGGAATCTTCCCACTCTTTTTGTAGCCAAGATTCTCGGTGCGTAGCAATTGGTGAACTTGTGATAGACGTTTTCTGTTGCACACGGCTTTGTCACTACGCCATACACACCATCGATGATTAGGTTCATCCCAACCGAATCGTTGTGCTAACCTTCCAAGCGAAACCTACAGTTGTGCTGTAGAGCAGCACACTAATGCTTCACCACCACGTACGTCATCGCATCACTTGGTGCATGAGAATCCTGGGAAAGACTTTGCATTCTGAGTGTGCAAAGCACAATCTGCAACGATTAGCAGCCATCACTGATCTGTTTGGCAGGTTTGTAGGCTGTCACAGCTTAAGGCAGTACCGTCGGCGCACTCCACGCTTCCATAACTGCGTCAATAGTGCAACTGAAAAAATTGATGGCAGCGGGTGTCCTTCTCTCACGCCGTTGGAGCTATCGAAACTCGGCAACAGTTCGCCGAACTACACACGTAAAGCTCTTTTAAAATATTTACGTAGCCCTCGAGCCCGCCTTCCCTGATCAGACAATCCCAAATAGCACATTGATCCAGCGAATTGAAGACACCTTTGATGTCAAGTAAACAACTATGGCTGGTCGAAAATATATTTAGATGTGCTCCAACAGCTGATATAATGCTGGCCATCCTTTTGGAAAGGAACACTGCTGCTGACGGTGCTCTCTTTCTTGCACCATGTCATAGGTCCTTGTATCTCTACCCGATGGTTATATAATTAATAACTGAAAAATTCCCATTTAAGTATCTAAAACAAGGGACCGAAGGTAACCAACTGTTTTCGATCATTCATCTTCAGACCTGCACAATCAGATAAGTAACATTGCACTGGGCGTAAAAGTGGATTCGATCAGTTCAAATGCGATTAGATCACCTGCCGACCAGGGGCATAGACCAGCAACAAACCTAAGTGATAACTGCCAACTAAGGCAGAGGTGTAGTTGAACGATTGCAGATGCCCTCAGAATTAGCCGTTTTATCTAGCCAAGCAGCTTAAAAGCTTCGATCAGCTTCTTTTGTGCACACAAAAGCGGTTTATACAATCGAATCCTGATCGCCTTGGCGGCAACAAAGGTGCAGAGGCACAGGTCTTCTGACTGGAATGGAGGGACGCTGTAAGCTATTCGAGAGGCACGAGTTGCGTCAACCTCATGCCCTTTATCAGCAAGATGAGCCATAATAGAGCTAGTTATAGCCTCGGTACCGTCTCGACGCAACCAGCGTTTAAGGTGCTCACTATTACGCTTCGGCAGGTGCCGCGCCGTGCGACCGATGTAAGTGGCGACACTGGCCCACTCGAACTGATAAATAACCATTGTAGCGGTCATCGTCGGCAACTTTGTTATGAACACAAATGAGAGCTTCCGTTGAGAGGGTATACCTAAGCTTAGCTGTTGGGAATATTGACTTGACGGTTGTTGAAAGGCTTCTAGTTACACGCTCAACAGCTGTGTCCCCTTTGTAAGATAGTTGTATGAAAAGTTCTTCTCTGCTGTTCGAACTTGTAATTGTTACACGCACTCCATTCTATTGGGTTTGTTATCTGATCAGCACGACTATTAAGCCATCTTACTGTGAGCTGATTCACTTACAAAACAAGGACTTTTTCTATCCTTTTAAACGCTGGTTGTTGGGTGTAAGATAGTCTCCCCTGCTGGGGAAAGTGTATGAATGCATCTTTTGTTACCTTTGAGTTGTATACTCACAAATCTCGCACCCGCTATGGCTCTACTGTCGAACTCTGGCTCCGGTACGTATACACACTGTTCAAAACATTCTTCTGCATGACTAAGGACTGATCTCAATGGTCTACGCGCCGTTAACTCGTGCGTTCCCTGCCCCTATCGTTGACATGCAAACAACACCTTTTCCTTTTTCTTTGAATTCCAAGCATCGCCATCTGACAAAAGTTCGCATCCGTCACAACGACAATGGCGGTATCAAAGCATGATCAGCTTTATAATTTTGTGCCTTCTGTTTACATCCACCTTCATTGTCTACATCTGACTCTTCTTGCCTAGATCAATAGTCTTCGTGATCCGTCTAAAAAGATGAGCAAGTCCGATGCCACGGACTCTGCCATCATTTACATCACGGACCCACCAGATGTGATTCGTTCGAAAGTGAAGCGTGCGGTAACGGACTCCCAACCGGGTCTTAGCTACGATCCCGATCAAAGGCCTGGGTTGTCTAACTTGCTGCGCATTTTGGCTGCTATTCAGGTGAGCCTATTGTTTTTTTCTGCACTTAGGCACTGCTGACCCCTTTCTAGTATGTGTGGTTGCACATGTGTCGAATATCTCTCTTTGAGCCTGCATTTATATTTAGCACTGGCGTAAAAAGAACTTCACCCGTATACTTTTAGGGTCATTTGATAGCCTCCAATCGCGTTCTGGGTTCGTACGTGCGGTTGTAGCATGCCTCGGTTCTGCGGTTGACATCGCACCTCATCTTCGCTGTTGGATTTATTCAGCTGAGTGACTAATTGCTCAACTTATGTTTATTTGTACGTGACATCGGGTTTCCATCTCTCTCTCTCGATGCGGCCTTTGAAAGGAGTGCTTATCATCCCCAAACTGCCACCCTAACAACAGCCTCTAATGGACTGGTAATGCCTGAATGCCTTATGCTTTATGCCGCCGAACCCAGAGGAACTCGTGGGATTGGGCTATGCGACAGGCACCGCCTCTCATGTGTCCAGCCCACATGCCTCATTCACATATTCATCAGAGGATGGCTCCCACGCAACCCTAATACCAACCGGTTGCAATTGTATTTTTCATGTATACTTTCTATGCATGGTCGTGACTCTGGCACATCGTGCACCTTGGGATAAGTACGGATGCATCAGAGGGTAAACTAGCTGCTGGACAATAGTGCTTCCGGTTCCCGTGCTTCTCGGCCATACTCCATCCAGCACGCACTGGAAAAGAAGAACCTGATTGGCTCGGTGCACGGCCAAGGTAACCGCCTCACTGCGGATATTTACCGTTACAGTAACTGCAATATCCTATGAATTATCTACACCAATTTCCACTGTTACATTTTACCTACGAATCCCATGTTTTCGCGGTATGTTGCATTCACACCCTCATGGGGTTCCACTGGACTTGTGAAGGACCAGTTCACGGGATTCCTCCAGTTAGCAGATTAAATAGGTGGAGATTGTATTAGCCCCATCGCTGCTAGACTGAACGTTAGCTTGGCACGGTTGCTTGTATCCTTTTTAGGCCCGTTGAGATGCGGTGTGTTATCTTTTCCTAATCAGAATTTTTCGGTTACTGGAATAATGTGTGGACAAACGCCGCCTCCTATTGCCCCGTTTTTGAAGCTGGGTTTGTACTGAGCACTTACCTCGCTACCAAAACGCTGTCTTCATTTTTCCTTTGCCCCACGGTTTATTTTTTTGACATGTTCAAGATACTTCCATTACTGATTGTAATATTTGCATTGTATCGGAAGAAGCAGTCAACACACAGTCCCCGTCCTATATAACGCTTCCTCTGTGACTCCACTAACCGAGAAGTCAGTTGACGTGACGTTGCGTTTCGTCACATGATCTCGGCGCCGAAGTTGCTTCCTGCCCTACATTCCTCCTTGTCAACCACAATAGAGGTATATCATTACTTTGCTCACTTGTACTTCCTTGTCACTGACATTAACGGACAAAAGACCCTACTGATTGAAATGAAGAAGCGGTAGGGAACGACCTGTCGTGGAACCTAAAGTCATCAAATGAGCATTCATTAGCAAAAGCGCCTGGGTAGTATGGTAGAAAACCGCTTGCTGTCTTTCGAAGGTACGGCGGCATAGTGACTTCCAATGTCCTGCACCACTCACATCGCAAGTTAGCAACCCATCTTGGAAACATTAATACGATCATCACAGGTGCGTATTTTGAGCTAATACTGTCATAAGTCGAGTACATGCTGGGTAGCGGGAACTCCAGCTTCGAATACAAAACTGACCAACATCGTCTGTTGTAGCTTACAACAAGTTCGTCTCCCGCTGCGATGTCGTACGTTACACCATCTTAGATCCGGAAAGCAGAATGAGGTCCACCCCGGTTAGTGATGCGCAAGCATACGTCTTAACATATGCAATTGGTTGTTCATCTAACGAACGAACCTGGTCACTGCTTATTGCTTTGCTGTGTGCTTGATCGCTGCAAGCGTGATGATATCACCGAACCTTCATCGCTAGGCATGAAACCAATCACTGGTTTTTGATATTTTGTGCATGAGGGATTTTTCCTGTTATTTGTTGATTCTCATCCTTCAGTTTACCCTTTAACTGTGCTCTGAATGATGCTGCCCATTGTGTGCACGAAACATTAATGTCAATCTCTCTGGACGTGGACACGGAAATACGATTGCTGTTGGGCAGCGGACATACCATCCTCGTTTATGTGTTCAACCCATGTTGTCCCACTACCGTCCTACTCGATGTCCTGATTTCTAACTTTTGAGAAAGTCACGCTACCACGGTTGCTTGTTTTTAATTTCGTTTTCTTTACCAAATGTTATCAGCATTGCGACTGAGTTGCGCCGCAAACCATTCACCACCACCACCACTACGCAACTACCAACTGTTGCCTGTGGATCTACTCTGCTTCCAGCTTGGTTATGCATCACCAGTCTGCGCGTCGTATGGCAGTCATCGGGCTGCACACCTTCCACACAAATCACTCCACTCTCCGTGCCGAAAAGCAATGTGATGAACACACTGCTCAGCTGTTCTTGTTCCGCAATATGTTTGCACGGTTGCCAGTGCGAGTCGATGTGGACTCATCTTCTAGGGGTGAATACGACCACCGTCCACAATCTTAACCGAGACACCTTGTGACTAGTAGGCGTCGAAGCGTAGCTTATCTTTACAAGAGTCTACGCTATCCATATCCGTAGACTGTTTTTTAACTGCTGTTGGTCACAGCGGACCGGCCTACATCGTCGCCGATTAAACGCATAGAGGTATTAGTAATTTTGTATATTTCTCGACAACCCGAGATACAGTACTCTTGGTGAATTCTGATCATTGTGTACATGGTGGAGTCGAAAGCTGCTCATAGTAAGCAGGACAGGATAGTACGCAGTGCATACCAATCGTACACATCACCATAGATAACTGCTAAATTTTGTTCATACTATCCCATGGTTGGAAATATCAATTACTGTTGCAAGTCTCCTTCTAATTGGCTATGTTACAATCGACTGAAACAGGGACGGGTTTTATTTCGGTCTATAGGGACACGTTGTTCCCGGAGAAGTTGTCCTCCCCGAAATCGGCAAGAGAAATGAGGAATCAAGAGGGTGATCAACAACTGTGTTAAGAGAAAGTCGCACGACACTGGCCATAGTACAATACAAAATAAAATCAGTGACTAGAATGTTGTCACTTATTAGCTTAAGTCGTAAATAATTCCCACGAAATCAGAAGTTCACGATTACACAAGACGTACTTTGTTCGGTAAATCTCATCAGAAATTTACAATTATAAAGCAAACTTAGAAAACCTATTGGGTACTGAAAGCTAGATCTCAGCTGTGTGCTACTGAAATACAAGCGAAATCTAGTCCGTTGCTTTTCTATCGCGCCGGGGCTATTTGCATCCCTGATACGTTGGAGAGTAAAACAGCTAATCCTCCATATATTTCAGGAGAATAGATATCTTCCACAGTTCATTAAAAGCACTCCACACTACCCCATTTCACCAATGCTGTCACTACAGTACCGAAAAAGGACATCTTTCTCACAGTTCTTTTACAAGAATATTGCTTTGAGTGGTTGCGGAGAAATCATTCGACCGCAATAGCTCAGGCATTCCCAGCATTCCTCGGCCAGAGGAAGGTGCACCACAGATGAGACTCAGAAGGCCGAAACAACGATGTCTGCTGCTTTTCCAGACGTGTGATAGCCTGCTGACTGAGAGTGACTTCGACGAATTACCCCTGAAGCTATACAAAAATCCCCACTGCTCATTAGTAATCTGAAATTTTTCGATGTAGCTTCTAAGTGCTGTGTCGTACACAGTCGCTTTGCGGAAGGTCCTAGCTCTATGGGGCCAACTACTGCCCTCTGCACACTTCATAACTGGCATGGCAGTGTAGCATGAGGCGGACTATATCGTAGTCAACCGTCAGTCATCCAAGTCCGCGACCATCACCCATAGGTGTTGTCATCCGGGAGTCACAGGGTCAGAACCCGGCAGGGGTCCGAGGAAGGCGCACCACTGACGAGACCCAGCTGGTCGAAACAGCGCTGTCTGGTGTTTTTCCAGACGTGTTGTAGCCTGCTGACTGAGAGGGGACTACGATGAATTACCTCAGAAATTATACCGAAATCGTCAATACTCATTAGTGACTTAAGAAATGCTTGTTAACCACAGCCGAGACCATCGCAATCAGCGTTTTGAAACTAGTGCTGTGCGAACAACAGTCGCTGGGGCAAATCTTGATCCTACCTTGGGCATGGACACGCTCCGGCGAGAGTTCCTCACCTTAAACCTGACTGGCGACCAGCACTTCTCCCTGCTGATCTGTCTGCCCTCACCCACTGCGTGTTTTGTCCGAGCGGCCTACTTCGACTGACTAAGACATTGATCCATAACCGACCATACCAAGCCAATAGATTGTGTGAACTTTGTGGTTCATTCTAATTTAAACCTAGTTTTCATTAGCCAATCGGTCTTCTAATTTTGCTCTATAATTGTAAATGCCTGATGAGGTCCATCGAAAAAGTATTCTTCCACCAATTGTGAACAAATAACCCTTTCGCGCATGAATTTTTGGAGTGGTGATAACATTATTTTAAAATTTTTTAATCGATTTGGGGTGTAATGAAGCACTTAGAAATTTACCACGCCGGCAATGTCCCGGCAGTGGACTGCATGCAACAGAGGTCATGAAAAACGCCTGTGTAGCTGCAGATCGTGCCAATGGTAGCCGTCCACTACAGTGACCTCTTTGCGCGAAAGGGTTAACTAAATGCTGAACTTAATTAACAGATCTCGTATTGGTGCCAAAATGCACAACACTGGGCAGACGCATATAATGTAGTTTAGGAGACTTCAACTGATCTGTATACGAACCAGCAAGCTGATGCACAATCATCAATACCTTCATTATGTGTTCTCTTGTGAGCGAGCCGGCTAGAGATGAAGACAAGTAAATATTGCATAGTGTGGAGATTCACGATGGAGTAATATGGGGAAGCGTAGGCAAGTAGAAACTAAACTGTGTTAGAGAAAAGTAGAATAGCTAAACGGTAAGATGATGCAAGGTGCGAAAGAATGCGATATCAACCCCCAAACTAATTCTGCATGTTCGGACACTATGGAGGGTTTGATCAACATGTAACTGAAGGTATTAGCCCACATTTATGCAAGCACTCATCGGAGACTACATATCTTTACGAAGGACAAATGCTGGGACGGTTCATTTTGCGCGCACTGGCTCAATAACGATCCGAGCGATTCGGCTTAAATGGCACGATGCATTCTAGTGGATAACTGTCACTCTATCAAACTAACCTCCTCCCCCCCCCACAACTATCTGGGTTTTGAACTGCAGCTCCCTTTTTTGCTTTCCCACTCATCACGCCATGATCTAGTTTCTTTCACCTACACTACTTTCCAAGCTTACGTTCTGATCGGTCACGTTACACGGTTTTATCATCTCTGTCTATTCGGTTTTTTCAGCGTCGGGCTATCCAGATTACTCCTGTTCGCTCTAGTCATTCTTAAAACTCGTGATGAAATGTGTTGCGCTTTTCGGCGGACACCGATTTGGCCACCATCAGTTAAGAGGATAAGCATTTGGTTCCCACATCTTGGACATGAAAACTGCTCTTCTCTCCCTTGTGCTGCTGCACTCTCATCGGCTTATGTTTTAATCCAGACAACCCAGTGTTTGTCTTCCGCGATGACTTCTCTATCCGTTCTCCTTCCATTTACATCTAACCTTCTCGTCACACTGTGTTCTGTGAACTGGTCTGTCGAAGTACCTTGCTTCAGCGCCGAATATCTACTACCAACTTAATATTAATAGTGGTGATACTAGTACTAATGACAATGTGTATTCTCGGTTTCACACGCCATGTCCTTTCCGGTATGGCCTGGATTGTACAATCATATTACGCTATTCCACCCGCCGAAACGAACAAATGCGTTAAAATAGAACAACGATTGCAGCAGATTTTAATGGGAACCAGTCAAAGGTTCAGTCAAAGTAATACGGCCATTCTTGGAACCGTCTCCTTAGGTATCAGTAACCACCATCGTTTTTCCGGTGATATCCGTCTATCTCCCGGTATCTCGATAGTCATTTCAGTGTTCATGTTTTCTTCCTCAGCTACTGCTTCCTGCTTTGGCGATATATAAATGGACATAGTTATTCTTCACTAATGCAATTCATCTACTAAAAAGCGCGCGTCCCCTATTACACATAACGTCGACATGTTTTGTGATGCCAACAGTATTCCCAATTTTGCAAGGCTTCCTACTTGAATGTCCAGCTAAGCGGCGTGGTCTAACAGAATTGATTGAGATATATGATGTGATGCTTGTCTTCTGCCACTCATACTTTCACTGACCAAGGACTGGCTTAAAGCAGCTACTTAACTACTGTGATCCAGTATACAGCAGCTCCGCAGTCTACTCAGCCGCTTACAGCCTTTGGTTAGTCATGCTGTGTTATATGTTGTGTCTTTCAGAATTGTGCCGTGGAAGAGATTCTCAGCCAAGCCTCCAAATGGACCAAGGAGGTGCTCAAGCGTCGTGTGACCGATGCACTGGTCGAAGAGCTAGATCCACTTCGTACTCGCATCGCGGATCTCAAAAGCACCACTGAGGGAAGGCGTACGATTTCACAAGTACTACAGGATGGTTCCGCTGTTGCGAACACTCTTGCTCGGGAGAGGCTACGTCTTATCTATTCGGCAATCGGTTGCTCAATCCCTTCTCTTGAAATTCATTCATCGACTGATCGAATGGACCCCACTGAACAGACATCATTTTTGTCCAGTTAACCACTTTGTATATTTATGTAATAATTTCAGCTGCTAACTTGTGTCAGTCTTCTTTATCCCTTAAGGGCCACTTTCTTATGCGTCTTGATCGCCTCCCCTCGTTAATGCTGTTTGGTTTACCACGTCTGGCATACCGTCATTTCGTCCCTCGCTGGCTGCGTCCTCATCCTGTGACCCCCTGTCTACCAACTGGACTTGGACAAGGCGCCACCACCTGTAGGCCAGTAGTATGGAGATTTGGGCATAATTTAAGGAGTTTTGAAAAGATTCAACACATTCAGCTCAGCCAGGCAGCCACTATGCATACCGGAAACCCCTAGATAGCCGTTTCGTCCATTGGGGACTCATCAGTAGCCCGCATCCACCGAATCCAAGTCCATGATAGTCCTACGAGTCAACGACTTATGCGGATTTTGAACTGTTCTCCGGGCTGAGTGAGTATCATGCAGACGTTTCATTGCCTGACTAGACAACCTCATCAGTGCGGCTTCAGGGGCTTGGTTCGCAGTGCTTACGAGGCACTGCAGCGGGCACAACCCATGCGGTCGTCACCATCAAGTGCATTTCGCCAATTTTGGGGCAGACGCTTAGACCCTCGCAGCTGTGAACTACTTGCATCGTAGAATAACACTGCGAGCAAAGCTAATGTTTCATTAAAGTACAACCCATTTTCCGTTGTGACGTTCATGTAAAGTTGGATATGACCACTCAGCTGGACTTGTAATGCACATTCCTTCTAACACGTTACTAACTCGTTGTGATACTAGTAGCAGTAGATTGCAGCGCTTGTGGCCCACCGTTGTAACCATCTCTGACAACTGTGGCACCAGGTTTTTCATTTCCAAAAACATTCTCCCTTCTGCCGCCTTACTTGCGATCTAACACTCGGCAATATGCGTCTGATGCAGTACATCCTCGTGATCAGGTCCTCCATTTCAACTACTCATCACTGCTTCATTCGACTGTATGCTTATCTCCCAGGCTTTGTTCGCTAGTGGTCAAATGTTACGCACCTGCGTCGTAATCCGGATATCACCGTTTCGAATCCGCGTAGGTGCGGGCGACCTCGCGATATTCCCAGCCATCACGTGACTGTTGGTGGACGTGTGGCATTAAATCGTCTGTACGGTATCCCGGCATACTCTTAATGCATTTGCCTTCCTTGTTGTTCGATGAGATTCAGGCCTTTTAGAGCTATCTATGCCTTACCTGTGGCTGGGACGGGTACCTATTCGATTTTTGCTCGTGACTAAGCCGGTGTCCATGGTACACGTGCTTTTGTAGGGATGGGAATAGGTTGCAGTGGCGCTCCTCCTGTTAAAGCAAGCTACCTTACTTTTACATAGGTAGTACCTTCTTAAGCAGTCGTTTTTTGGCCTGACGTCTGCTTTATCTCTGCTCTTTTAGTAATTTAACCAAACATGCACTTTCTACCACTCGAATGGGAAGCCTATTTTAATGGCTGCCTGACTACATATGATTGTGTGTGGGGAGAATATGCTCGAAGGATTTTGCTACTACCAGATGAGGAGTAGCTGACCAACAAAATCACTACGCTGGTGGAAATACAGACACCACACATCGCTACAACAAACGCGCTAGTCTACTAAATCACAATCCAATATTATAATTTGTGAAAACCAACGTTTTTTTCAGGGTCATATTGAGCGCTCTCCGGAATTGATACTGGGTTAAAAACTGGTGCCTTTCACATATGTATGATGACGGCAACGAGAATAATTCTGATTGACATAGTTACTTAACTCAATTCATACTTTATACCTACAGCTCTGCAATGCCACATGAGCAGTGTCTGTCTCGACTTTAGTATCTATCGGGTGCACCACTCGTGTTTATTAGTTGCTTGATCATGTGAACCCACTCGCACCTTAATATACCGCAGTTGCACCGGTCGTCGACTTATTTGCTACTCATGCGGCCCTACACTGAGTTGAGGTGGGCCCCTCTAATTATGGTTCCGAACTCGTACTGATCCAAACATAAAATCAAATGACGTAGGTTGTGAAATTGCAAGCTCCTTTCGTGCACCCTAATCATTCGCAGACATGCAACCTATAACAGATACTTTAAAAAGTGGGTATAAGCGATCCATTAGTGGTCAAGCAAACAGTTGACGCTTATCACACACTTTTGAGCACACAGCGGTAGTCGCTGTAGATTGATAACAGTGAATTTAGTTACTCCAATAACGCGGGACCGCGGCTTATACGATATGGCAGGGAATGACTGGTCGGGTTTGAATTGCTGGTTAGTACTCAGTAGATAGCTTGTAAGTGCTGAGACCGTTCGGTTTCTCGATTCACACCATTCCGTCGGGATCCGTTCGCCGCTTCTAGCACCTAAATATCGTTTGAGACGCAGAAGTTACAGACACATGTAAGCAAGCATGGTCGGCAAATTTTTGCTTTGTTCACAGCGACTTATCACGGTTGCAAATCATCCACCTGGACTGATCCATGAATTTGTTAATAAATTTTCCGTAATGTGTGCCTTAACAACATTTTTTTATATGCTCCTAAAGGGCCAAGAAGAGAAGTTTGTTGTTGACAAAGGTGTTGCGTTGCAACGGCTAGTACAGCAATCATATTACGACAGTTGGCTTTACGTTGGACTAAGCCGCATGAGTGTTACTGTGGGCGGTACATAACGGCAATGTGTCGAACGATCGCATCGATCTGAGGCCACGTCTATAAGCGCCTTTCACCGAATGCCGAAATCTGCTAATAGGGTTGAATCATGGCTGGCTGATTGCTGTCACCGGATTGGATGAAATACACCGAAGTGCATGGTATGCCAATGTAGCTGATCGATCACACAAATCGGGTTTATGGTTTTCGGTCCCTATACTCTACCATAGAGGCTACTTGACCACGGAATACTCCGGAGTCTCAATCATTGAGAATCTTAAGAAACCGTGTAGAAAACAATTCTCTGTGCTTTGAGAAGAGATTATCACTTCGGTTTCAGTTCCATACAAGTCAGTATAAACTTTATGTATCCATGAGATTCCATTTTCATCAGCGTCAATGGCTTTTGCGGATGGTTTAGAACGGCACCATAAAAATTATATAACTGGAATAATGGCTTTGGTAGCACGTATATCACTCGGAGCAACGGTCTGAGATCTGCATGCTATGGAAAATAGTGTCGAAAATCAGTCTGTTGGTGCGGATGAAGATTCGGCAGTGACTTGGAGATTTCCCAACTGTCTGGGAACGGTGTGTAAAACATAATAAAAATATAGTTTTCTCTTGTGTCTAGGAAACGTAGGAAGCTTCCCTGTTCGTAAGATGACTATGTGTGTTTTAGTCAACCAGATGAATCGCATTTCGCGCGCTTACGGCTTCGCGCCTCGAAGAGAGCTAGCGAGGTCTGCGTTGGCGACCATACTGCTTCCCCAGCTGGAATATTTTGTGGTACCTTTAGCTAGCGGGTTGTGTGTTTTGACAACAAACATTTCTCAAGCCGTTTGTTCTTCTTCCGATTTTTCCGTAAGACAGGACGAGCTTGAGTTATGAGCGACCGGGTAATTCCGCTATAATTCATCAATTTACGAAAAGACTATGGTTAATTTCGCACATTATCTCATTCCATTTTTCAAAGCTAGACGGAGCACAGCACTAGCGGTAAATTAAAGAGATTAAATGAAGAGTGCCAAGGATATTTAACGGTACCCATAGATCCTCAGCAGATTTCTTGAGAATCAGATGCCTGATGCATGGCACCATTATTAGGAATACTTTGTTACAAAAGGAATGTATGTATACATCTAAAAATGCACAAATATTAAGTTTTATTGTGCAATATTATAAATATTTTTATATACAGCAATTTTTATAAAGGTAAATAGCGGTAATTCAAATGTGATGAATTAATTGGATGTAATCGATTTCATAACTAATTTTGCATTCCCTGTAAAAGTTTCATCGTTATTTCTCCTTTCTGTAAGTTACTTAAAGTTTATCCCACTTGGTCTGAATTCTAATAGTTCACTAATGGTATTTAATTATTTGTTTTATAAAAGAGCATATTTTGGTTCATCTGCGAAATTTTGCAATCATACCTTGTCTATCCGGTGTTGTATGGACGTTTGTCCCATAAAACGTCACTGGTAACCTTTTAACCGCTTAGTAGTGTGGCTTTAATTTTTATCTTGTTTGTACTTTTATACATTAGGAATGTCGTGAGTTGTTCTAGATACTCGTGTGTGACCTGCTGTTCTCGTTCTTACTTCGATGCTAACCCATTATTTATTACCTGCCTCTACTAAAGACATTGCAGGTTATAAAACGCGATAGGGTAGGTTTATTCTATTAGGCACGGTTTACTAATGCATATCATGTGTTCAATTACCGTGCCTGGTCCCGAAAGCATTTTTCATATCTGGGCTGTAGCCGCTTCTGCAATCATTAACTTTACTGTAAGGATACTGCTTGTTGCGAAAGCCACTCGTTTCCGTAACCTATAGAATTGAACCGATTAGTGTTGTTGTAAGCGCTGTGGAGAGCGCCTCCCAATTTGCATAAGTAACTGATAGGCAAACGAAGTCAATCCGATGGGTGACCAAATAAGCGCCCGGCTAAACAACTTTCAGAAGCTTATCGGTCACTCAAGAAAAGAATTGGCTGCATAACACCGCTCGCTCTTATATATTTTCGTAACTTTCCATTTTTGTTAACGCACCACCGCCCCCTTTTTCCCTTCTAAATTCCGACACGCCTGGCGATTTATAGTACTCGTTTTTTGGCAAACTACCTCTCTGTCGGGAAAAAGTCAGCTGTATAACCTTGCTCGCCCTTATACGCACCAAAATTGCCTTTATGTTGAGGCACCACCGTCTCCTTTTTTATACTTGATGCTGACACGCTTGGCGATTTACTGCACTCAATTTTGGTTACATAAACTATATTACTTGGTTACGGATGACGCAGTTGTTTCTTTCCTTTACGCACTGCCAATGAGCATTCACCCGTCGAATCTATAGCCTGATTTCTTGCATCCAGCAAAACTCTA